CTAGTGGAGACCCATCATCCAATACTGATGGAGCTTACTCTGTAAATGACATGACCTATACAGAAGCAGAAGGTCGCTAAGGAGAGAACCAGATGTATAATTGGACATACTATATTATTCAATTGAGAATCACTTCATGAGTGAGATAAGAAGAGAGGATATACCCTGATTTCACTCAATAATTTGCCTTATAACTAGGGATCTAAGTTCTATATTAATTTGCAACACTCATCATTTGTCTTGTTATAAATACATGTTATAAAATATATGCCCTATAATTGGGGATCTAAGTTCTATATCTGCTATACTCATCATATGTCTTGTTGTAAATACAAGCTATAAATTATTTGTAACATTCATCATCAGTTCGACCAAGCTACATAAAAGTACTTTTCGACCGCCAAAGACATGTAGGAAGGTTGACAACTTTATGACACAAGATTTTAGGAGCAAGCCTACTCAGACACTAATCATGCCATATGTCAACCCGCAATCAAAAGAAAAAGTCACTACAAGGAAAAAGCTCTTTTGCGACACCGTATTTGCAACAGAGCACACGACGTCGCAAATACCCAAAAATTAGCGCACATAATGATTATGAAAAAACTTTTGCGACACTGCTCTAACTAATGTCACAAACACGTCCCCACGTCAATAGACAATTGGGTAAAGTTATTTTAATTTTATTTTAGCGCCCTCTTTTTCCTATTTTTTTTTTTTTTTTTTTTTGAACACCCCCTCTTTTTCCTATTAGGCGCCTTAATTTCATATGAAAAATTCCACCAGTTTTCAATTTTATTGGTAAAGTTAGCGGCTGCCTCTCAAATACTCCATCTCCGTCTCTTTGCCTATATTCTCCCAATGTCTCAAACTCTCAGTCCTCTTACGGTCTCTCTCTCAGTGAGCTTGATTTGGATTGGTCTCTCTCAGGTTGGAATCTCGATTTCAAGTTCTATAGTCCCGATTTTGGTGTGCCTTCTAGTTTCCTAGGGTTTCTTTCTACGAATTTTGTTCAATTAATTATTTTATTGATTTTCTGTGCCTTTTGAATTTTTATTTCATTCGTGTGTCCTGTTGTTTGGGATTAGAAAAATTGATTTTGATTGGTCTTGGTTGTTATTTTAGTTGTCGGGCTTTGTTTTTGGGTTCTCTGCATCTGCCGGTGACGAGCCTCACACTGACCACCACGGCTGCGGTTACGGCATCGGACACGGCCATGGCCACGAAGAGGAGAAATCTGGTCCTTGACAAAACCATCAGAGACTGGGTTCTCATCTTCCTTACCGCTTCTTTTACAACTGCTGCCCCCACGCAGCCTTATTGTGATTTTATCTATTTGTTATTGGATAATGTAGCTTAATCTTTAACCGTTGGATTGATTTTAGTGGAAAAAGAAAAGAACAATTTTTGCATGCTTGAAAGTTAATTCCTTGTTTGTTGCTTAATGTTGATGATGATTGTATTTAACTGGCAGGGTTATGTGTTAAATTGGATACATAGTTTCACTATCAGGTTTGGATTCCCAGTGTTGGTTTAAGGTATTGGTCGGCTTAAAGAAATCAAGGGACAACAGTTCAAAACTTTTGAAGGTATAGAGCCTCCAAATTTTTTTACTTTGTTTAGCTTTTGTTAACAAAATGAATCTGAAGCTGTAAAGTGACCAGCAATTGAAATCAAGTTAGGAAATTGGGTCAGAATTTGGAAACCTTAGATGAAGTGTATGAAGGTTTAGAATTTTAATTTATGCCATAGCTATCTTGCAATTAGCTTCTCTTATAAAAACTTGAAGGCATCACAATCCATGTTGCGGTCATAACATAGATGAGTTGTATTAGCGTTTTACTTAACAAACAAATACTTTTACCTGGTGATCCTGTGGAATTTTGCTTATATCTCTGGTTTTGCATTCTTCTTATTCAATGAATGGTATTTAGTTTGAATTTTGATAGCAATGAAGATTTGGTAATAAAGTTGAATGGTGTTATTACATAGCAATTTTTCCCTTTTTTTGATTCAGATGAAAACTCAGAACTGTTCTAAATATAATGGCCATTTCATGCTAGATGAGGACCAATGTCATTTATACATGATGAGCACTTGTTACGCTGGTTTTTATGTTACTAAGACTTTCTTTCACCCATTGCAGGCTAGAAAATTTACGGCGTTTCAAAGGGATTGTAAGATTGCAAATAATGACCCAAGCTTATCATGTTACAAAGCAAGCTACAACTATATTGAGCTATCTTCACTCATGGAGCAAAGTACATGCTGATGTTAAAGCTCACCAACTCTGTATGGTAACAGAAGACGGATCAAGCAAAACAAATAGAGAGTCAACAAAAACTTTAGGCGAAGTTTCATTATATAAAGGTGAGACCAGCAGCTTCCACATCTGTCAGCTTGCTAGACTTCAACTTATTTTATATAGGATTCTACAAGTTTCTTCATAATCTTGGTGTGCTTATGCTACAGAACCATCACAAAACTAGGAGTGTCAAAACTTTGATTCATGTATAATCTTGGTGTGCTCGTTCTACAGAACCATCACGAAACTAGCTTGTAATCTGCTATTTCTTCTTGTCATTCTGTTGATACTGATGTCAAACATGTTTCACTCTTGCAGGAAAATGGATTTTTAATTGTTCCTAAAGGTCAGGCACAGAATCACGACCACGACCACAAGCCTCACACTCATTGGTGTATAATGTATACGACCATTCAACTAACTTTAAGTAAAACTATATTGGTGTTTTCATAATTTTGTCGTACTTGTATATGATAATACAATGCAAATTTTTCAATAATAATATGTTTCTAGTTTGTAAAATTAAATAGAATAATTTGTATCTGGTGTCAAATATGGCGCTAGAATTTTTTTTACACTTGGATATATTATTAATGATGCTTTAAATAATGTTGTAATGTTGTCGCAAATAATATTTGTGACGGTTATTTTGCGTTGTCAATAGTTGTTAAGACTTTGCGACATATGTTTGTTGCGACGCGTCCAAGGCCGTCGCCAAAAGCTTTTTACTACGTTTTAATCACTTTTTGCAATGTGTTCGTTTTGTCGCAAAAGGGCCATTTTTTTTTTGTAGTGAGTCTAGGATGGGACCCAAAAGTGGTCCGGCCTGTTCTGAGTGATGTTCTAAATTTAGCACAAGTACTAAATTTAGAATGGGTTAACAAAGTGAGAATGAAACAATATCGAAGCAAACAAATCCTCATGACAATGGGTTAACGGTCCACCACTAGCCCTCGCATTTCACAAACAATTCAACATGCATTTCAAATCACATTTCACAAATGTTTCCAATCCACAATCGAATCACATTTCATAACAATAGATCGATGGCCAAATATATAAAAATACATTTTAATAGAAATCACATTTATTAAACCAAGTCATATCCACAAATGATATTATATACGAAACCAGGGTAATAATCATGTCACATTTATTAAAGTCACTCACTAAACAATGTAGGCCCACTAGACTTCACTTAGTCTCCAATAATACTAATTTTAGTATTTAAAACGATTCGAGACATGTTGATCAAAAGTCAACTCGCAGACTTGCAATCACGATGGGGTCCACAACCCTACGTAATTTGATCTGGAATAACCACCCATGGATTTCTGATCCGTAATTTTCCAAGAGTCTCATTTATCTTCTAGAACAATATCCTAAAATTTTGAAATGAATAGTCGGATCTCCGCCAATTGCTAGAATTAGGTGGAGGTTAACAATTAGTTTTACAAATTAAAAAATTCAATTCATCAAGATCCGTATGTCGGATTTCCGATCCATCAGTTTGTAATGTCCTCAAATATTACGTGCTATAACGCATTAAAGTTTGGTGAAGATCCAACGGTCGGATCGTCGATGGTTATGTCTTCTATTTTTCTACTTTCCCTTTTCTATGTTTTCCTCCCATGTAGTAGGCTGATTACTTGAAACAATGAGTATAGTACTAGTGACGCAATATGATCTACAAATGGATGGTTTCTTATAGCATGCATATCCATACAAAGCAAGCAAAGTTTAACGTCATTGGTTCTTAGCTACTACACCGTCTTTTTAGCTACTTTGTGTGAAAATTATTCATGTCTATCATGGATAATACATTCAACGTCCGCAGCAAAACGCAAACACATTTTCTAGTAACCACCGTGACTAAACTATTGGATTGGAGGGGATTAAAAGGGGAGGTGTCACAAGTTTTACATACAGTCGACAAGTGGATGTGACTAGTGTTATTACTGGTAGGTGCTGTCAAAATGAGGGGAAAAGCTATCCCAATTTGGAATCAAGTTAGTCCCCATTTTCTTAAGCTCACTCTAGCTCATCTTCCATGAGAATCAAATCAAGCCTGGTCGCAAGCTCAAAACTAATTAAACAAGTCAAATTTGAGCACAATAGTGTTCGGTTCCGCTAGACTCGTTTGCAGTCCTACGTTGATTTATTTGTTGGGATTTGCTCGTTAATTCTTTTTCTATAAAATTGATTCTTGCAAGAGAAAAGCGTATAATATTGACCAACCAATAGAATTATAGTGGTCTAGCATAAATCTTGTATATTGTCGCATGGTTTTTCAACTAAATAAGGCTCATTTGGAAGTTCTTTTAAAGTGTTTTTGGTTAAATTGTTTTTGAGTTCTAAAAGTGTTTCAAGTATTTTTTTGCAGGAAACATCACTTATATGCTTCTTGGGGGAAATATTTTAAGTGCTTATCTGAAATTCACTTGAATTTTTATTAAGGATTGGTTTCAAAACATTCTTATCAAAAACGTTTTTAATTATTTTAAAACACTTCTAAACGTACAATAAAAAAACTAAAAATTAAGAGATCCTAAACTTGTAGCTAATAGAAGCTTTTATGTGTTGTGTTCAGATAAAAACAGAAAGTCGTTGTTAGATTGGAGAACGCGGTTTCAAATTATCATTGGGATTGCTCAAGGTGTCCTATATCTTCATCAAGATTCGAGACTAAAAATAATCCATAGGGATTTGAAAGCAAGCAATGTTTTACTGGATGGTTCAATGAACCCAAAAATATCAGATTTTGGCATGGAAAGAATGTTCGGGGATGACCAAATTGAAGCAAACACGAACAGAGTTGTTGGCACCTAGTAATTCTCTCCTCTCACTCGAAATAAAACTCTAGAGCTGATATGTTTTTTAATACTGATAATGTGTGATTGCAGCGGTTACATGTCACCGGAGTATGCTATGGATGGGCTATATTCCATAAAATCCGATGTGTTTAGCTTCGGAGTCTTGGCACTAGAGATCATTAGCGGCAAAAAGAACAGTTTCCAATTCGAAAACACCTCTCTGAATTTGGTTGGACTTGTAAGTAAACAGATAATTTTTCAAATGATAAATCTGACTCTTGAATAGTCCAATGATCCAAACATTGTGCTCACACTTGTTTCAGATATGGGACTTGTGGACAGAAGGAAAAGTCTTGGACATAGTTGATTTGTCACTGAACCAGTCGTATTCGACTCACGAAGTTATGAGATGCATTCAGATTGGGCTCTTGTGCATGCAAGAAAACGCAACGAACCGGCCAACCATGCTAGATGTTGTGTTCATGCTGGGGAATGAAACGAATCTTCTACATCCAAAAAAGGCAGCGTTTAGCTTCATTCAAAACTGGTGGTCCGGATTCTTCAACGTCTAGAGGAGCTTCATCTGTAAATGATGTAACAGTAACAGTTATTGAAGCTCGTTGAGTTTGCACTTTCCAGGCCTTGTAGAGATTTTGCATTACTTCTTAAAGTATTTGTACTCAAATCAAGATTTCTTTGTAGGTGAAGATTTTAAATTCAAATTCAAATCCTAGAATCCAAACGAGGCCCAAATGTTTAAATTTTAGATCAAGCATGAAGACGTGTGAGTAACAAATTGAAATTCTCAATTGTAAACGAAAATCTTGGCCATGATAGGTAGTGTGCGAATTCCCCTTCTTAACAAAACAAGTTGTAGTTTTTAACTTTTTTTTTTATGACAAAAATAAGCCTGGAATTTTGACAAAAGTTAGAAATTATAAATTGATATGCACAAATTCTCTTGTTTTGAATTTATAAACATAGAAATTTTGATTTTTCGCTTGAAAAAAAAATTTGGAATTTGGGAATCCAATGTTTAAAATCCATGTAAATGAATGTCATGTTTAAATTTCTATGAGTGAGAGTTTAAAAATAAAAAATTCCTATTGAAATTCAATCGTTCTTTTAGGTTAACAAAACAAGAAAACTTTCAAATTCTTTACAAATTCTAAAAAATAAAATTCAGTCAATTATATTTCCAACATTTTGAAAGGCTTATTATATTAACACCTCACAAATTGTTGAATAAACCCCACATTTTCTTTTTCACTTAAAAATTATTTTAATATACCCCACGTATTTTCCCATAATACCCCCACACTCTACATTCTCAATATACAATTATACACCTTATATTTTGTACATACACCCCACATTTCTCAAATCTTATAACACTTATTTTTTAATTTTCAAAAATTGAATCTAACCATTTGAACGTTTAATTTGTCGAAATATTTCAAATCATTTGAACGTTTAATTTGACATCTTCAACGCTGCAATGGGCAAATTTAAGTACAATGTTGCCTATGATTTAATTCCCTTCGCCAAACCAGATGGTACAAGTGCTGGCACTTAGGATGATTTGGCGCATCAAGTATTTATCAGGGTATGTAGTACTAGAAACTAGTGCAGAGTTCACTTTTTTTTTTTTTTTTTTTTTTGGAAAACTAGGAATAACATTCCAAGGCTAGGAAGTCAAAAGGTACAAGCCTACAAAGAGGCAAACACCAAGGAAGGCAGAACGAAAACGACATTGATGAAAAGGGGTACAACCAGAAATGCATCAACCAAGTTGAGCGTCACCCCAAACACCGCCCCAACAAATCAATGACGACCAAGAAGACCATCATTGTTCAAAATGTGAACCAACGAAGATGGGGCCTGACGACCACCCAAACAGTATCACACATCTCCGAAAAAATAACCGACGTAAGAAAATCCAACGCCATATTGGCTAATCTTCGGAAAATCAACATTTTCTTTGCTGCCACATACAACGACCTGTTTGCTCTAATTGTTGCGTCTGCTGCCACTACATCGAAATTCTGTCACAGATTATTAGTAATACAACTAATGATAAAATTGTGTAGAGTTCACTTTGTTTAACAATTTTATCATTAGTTGTAATATTAATAATCTGTGACATAATTTCGATGCAGTGGCAGCAGACTCGACAATTAGAGCAAACAGGTCGTTGTATGTGGCAACAAAGAAATTGTTGAAGTCGTCATCACCATCGCCGCACTGGTGAGCCAAACGGATGAACAACTGTGGGATCCAAAAGAAGAAAAGGGCAAACAAAAGAACTCCCAACACAACACCTCCAACAAATACCAGAGATAAAGCCTTTAATTTGGACCAAAAATGCTGATTGGAATTTGACAAAAATGTCGCCTGGGATTTAAATCGTATATGGGTTTGTTTTCAATTCCATTATTAAAACTCATCTTGTCTGTTTTTAATATTTGGTGGTAATTTAGATGTTTAATTCTTCATGTAATCCTTGTGATCCCAAAAAGATATGAATATAGAAGTTTAAATAACGCATCAATATCGATGTCATCGAAATCACTAAAACAATTTTATCTCATGTGAAACTTCCAAAACATCGATTTCGTGTTCTATTCGTCAAAAACAATTTTTCTCAATTAACATGTTTGTAGTTTCATTAGTTAGGGTTTTGTTCAACAATGGAGGGTGGGAGAGTTTTGATAGTTGAGAAGACAAATAATATGATAAAAGTGATTTATGATGTATTTAGAAAATTTTATTTATTTTAAAAACCTAATAAGGTCAAAATTATCATTACATAGTGAAGTAAATAAGTCATTTAATATTAATTTTAATATGAGATGCGATTAACATTTTGTGAAGTCTAATATAAATTTTTTTTTAAAATTCCTTAATAATCTTAAATTTCTTTATCTAGCGTAAAGCTAAATTGAAATTTCTGGTTTTCGATAAATACGATGGTAGCACGCTAATTGCTTCTTTGTTAAATTATTATTAATACTAAATTGTTGGACCACATGCTAATGACTTAGGTTATAAAACATTTCTTCTTCATTCAACGATGTCTTCATATGTGGACCCAAGAAATGATGTCCTCATATGTTATTACACTTCACACAGTATACTGTAATTTTATGCTTATCCATACTCTTATTTTTTTTAATGATTTTAATAGTCACCTCGCGGCACTGAAGGCAAATTATATTACTTTAGTCTAAGTAGGAGACGTGGCACTGTGCAATTTTGACGTAGGTTTCAGTTTATTTACAAAATTGCCACTCAGTCTCTCATTCCCTCCCTAAAGACCTCTTCTTTGCTTTCCCCACTTAAAGACTGCGATTCGCCACTGAGCTCCGAGTTCAGGGCTCTGTCCCTCTACGGCGGTAGAAATGGAGTCTCCACCTCCTCGGCGATGGCCACGGAGGCTCAGCTCTCGATCCAAGACGACAAATTGAAGGATGCCCAGATGGAGGTAGCTGATAAGCCTGAGAAAGTCGTGCTTCCAACCAACGAGTCCTCCGAAAGCCTCATCAGAATTCGACACACGGTATTTATTGAAATTTCATTGCTTTGGATTGGATTTATGATTGTGTTATGTTAAATTGAAGTAGGAGGTGCTTTCCTGTAGAATTTTTTGAATTTTTAGATTCGTAGGAGCTTCCCCTTTTTGAAAGTTTGATGCTTTTAATCAACCATTTTCAATTCTACGTTACTAATTGTCACCTGATTCTGTTGTGAAGAATGAGGGAGTGAGGATGAAGAAAATAAGAACATAACTTTTCGGTAATTTGAAATTTGATCGAATAGGACATGGAAAAATGGGTGTATAGCAGTAGATAAGCTGGGAAAATTTTCATCCTGTTTTTGGGAATGTGAGAAGATACATGGGTTTCTGTATTTTGATAAGGTGTTGAGGTCGAGCTATGTTCATTTTTTTTCTGAATTTCCTTGTAGTTTGATATCAATGGCGCCTTTTCCGCTGTTATGGTGATGAAATGTGTTTGACTGCAGTGTGCACACGTGATGGCCATGGCTGTTCAGAAGGTCTTCCCGGATGCAAAAGTGACAATTGGTCCGTGGATAGAAAATGGGTTCTATTATGATTTTGATATGGAGCCTTTGACGGACAAAGAGTTGAAGAGAATCAAGAAGGAGATGGTAAGTGGAATTTCTGTATAAGTTATCATGTTTGTATCAAAGTTTTGGAACCATGAAACAAGTGAAAACTATTCAGGAGCATTTCTTTTGTGATTTGTAGGATCACATCATTGGTAGAAACTTATCACTCATATGAGAAGAAGTTTCAAGAGATGAAGCTCACAAAAGAATAACCGCTCTCAACGAACCATACAAATTGGAAATTTTGGATAGTATTAAAGAAGATCCCATTACCATATATCATATTGGAAGGTGATGATTTAATGTGCAGGAACTGTGCGTAAATGATATTTTTATTAGCTACACAAGTGAAATGTACAGTGTTTGTGTCGAGTCTTAAGATGGAAATTTAAAGGAATAAAAAAGAGAGGGCGGGGGTGTGCTCAGGGAAAACAATGTTGTTGGTGCTCTTTAAATATGAGTTATTGATATACAGATTGAAAAGGAGATTAATTTGAAGGTGGGAGGAACCTTTGGGTCAAGCTAACCAAATTATACTTATGTTTATACATATGCATGCTTGTACTGGGATTTGATTGTGTTTTGAACTAGCATCCTGTCATATTAGACTGTCTTTACGTCATAATTCCTCATAGTATGCCGAATTCTTCATAGGTGATGAATGGTGGGACCTATGTGCGGGGCCCCATGTTGAAAAAACTGAAATATTAACAGAAAAGCTGTCGAACTTGAGTCTATTGCTGGTGCCTACTGGAGAGGAGATGAAAAGAAACCGATGCTGCAGAGGATCTATGGCACTGCATGGGAGAGTGAAGATCAATTGAAGGCATATCTTCATTTCCAAGAGGAAGCTAAACGTCGAGATCACAGGCACCTTGGTCAAGTTCTTGACCTGTTTTCTAGACAGGTACTCAGAATTGCCCTGAATCTCTTTTTTCTGTTTACGCAGATTTATCAGTTAGCAATCCCATTATTTGTAGTTGTGAGGATTCTTGCATTGAACATTTTCGTTGTTGAATTTTCACAGAATGATGCTGGTGGGGGTTTAGTGTTCTGGCGTCCAAGGGGTGCTATTGTGAGGCATGTAATGGAAGATTTGTGGAAAAAGATCCACATAGAACGTGGTTACGATCTGCTGTATACTCCACATGTTGCAAGGGCGAACCTTTGGCAGATAAGTGGTCATCTGGATTACTACAAGGAGAATATGTATGATCAAATGAATGTTGAGGATGAACTTTATCGGCTTTCGACCAATGAACTGCCCATATCATATCTTGGTTTAGAAAAGGAAGCCTCACTCATATCATGAATTTCCTATTCAAGTTGCTGAGTTGGGAACCGTATATAGATACGAATTATCTGGAAGCTTGCATGGTCTTTCTTGTGTAAAAGGTTTTACTCAGGTATCGTGTTAGTATTTGCAAACTGGTAGTCTATA